TTTGGGAGGACGAACTATAACCGCAGACGAGAGAATATCATCAGCTGAACTGTTCCTACTACTGTAGAACCCAAAAATGTTCTCTGCTTTACAGATGTATGTTCCACCGTCTTTTCGTAACACGTTGTATATTTGCAAGGCACCATTACTCGCGGCTGTTCTACCAGGTAAAACTGCCAGTGGATTTAGACCACGTGATAGTAGGCTGCGGCTGACCAGTAGCACTGCAGGCGATGGTGATGTTTTGTTCTTCCTCAGCCATCAGTCGAGATGGTAGACAGTGAAACCCGAGGTGCATCTGTTAAAATATATACAATATTAAATGACCCTGCGTTCTCAATTAAGATATAAGGCAGATTTCAAAGAAAACTTTGTAAAAATCTGAAGGGCCAACGGACAATACAAAGGTACCTGATCTGGTGGATCTAATCAGCAAATTTAAAGAATGAAAATACAATAAAGAAAGGCTGACTGCTTTAAAATTACAACACTCACATTGCCACAGTTAATTTTGCTGAAGCGTTTCACGCTTCCCAGCAGGTTTTCCGCTCTGCAGCTATAAACTCCATCGTCTTCTGGTTTCACGTTCTTTATTATCAGAGCGCCACTGGACTCCACCACGTGACGACCAACCGGAAGTGACGATTTCACCTTGCGACACCACGTGACACTGTTGGAGGTGGATGACCCCTCTGCAGAGGTAATGGGCTCCTGCTGCAAGTACATTTCAAAGAGTGCTGTTTGGCCCTTCATTGACGGTCGTTGCAGCGGGAGGCTCCTGTAGAACGAGGAGGCTTCCTGTAGATATCCATGTCCCTCTCGCCTTCATTCCCTGGCGGCCTCTAGGCCCCGGTGGCCCCCGGCACTCCCGTATATCCTATTAATCCCATCGGGCCTGTGTGTCCCACGGGGCCTGGCGTACCCGAAGATCCCTGGGGTCCAGGTCTCCCCGGTCTTCCACGACCCCTTCGGTGGGCCTGGGTTCCCTTTTGGACCTGCACGGCATAAACACGTGATTACTTTAGCGCAGATTTGTTGTTGCAGTTAGGCTCAGCCTCTTCTCGTACGCGTCGTTTGTACATCCGGGGCTAGCGTGGTGGTGCATTTACCGATGAAACACTTCGGTTTTGTCTGAAGCGCTTTCCTCGTGACTAGAAAGAAGTAACGCTGTATTTATTGCTATAATTCATTTATCGTGAACTCTCACTAAATATTTGCGAGCTTCGGAACTAACGCGGGGGGGGGGTGGGGGGGGGCGGGGACTCCCGTATAAAAAGTGACCGGGGATGCTCAACCTCGTCCCCAGAGTCTATCTGCCCGTTTTCAAGATAGGCGGGTGGTCGCAAAGACTCCCCTAGGCGAGAAGTCAGGTCACGTGTCTCCAAAAATATTGGACATTGGGATTGGTTTCAAAATGGCGGCGGGGCTCGCGATTGGCTAATCTTGTGGTCACGTGGACCATGCTCTTCGTCAGGGTTCTTCTTCGACTCCCAACCCGCCATCTTTGAAAGCGGAGAAGACCTCTGGGGACGAGGTTGGGGGATGCTCGTCGGGAATGTTCAGAAATCTTTTTTAAAACAAAACTATATTTTTGGGGGGGGTGCGGGGTTCAACCCGTAAAGGGGCAACCTGTCATGAAGCCATCAGTTTGAAAAGTCAAAATACCAAAAGTACATATTTATATCAATGTAAACCTACCAACATAATGGTCCAGTTTTTGTTAAAAAATTGACTAGTACTAGTGTACTGAGGCTATAAATGGAGTGCAATCATGAGTGTTCCATAGGAGATTTTGATCTTTTTTTTAAAGTTCGGGCAGACCTTGTTCAATAATAATGCTCTTCTATCTTGGAAAAAATCGTTAAAAAACTAATTACGGTTTTGCTCTCACTGCTCTCTTCTACAATTAACATTGATATCTTCCTCTTGGATGTTTTGGGGGCATTTCGTGTATGATAGCCTAACTAAGGTACTTAGTCATTAATTATTGCATCGTTTTTGGGCCAAAAAAGCAGACATCAGACAGGCGTGACATAGCCGGCCAACAGCCACGGACCTAGTCTCCTGCGCAGCCCGTTATTTGTCAATTTCATTTCCTGTTGATATCTGTGGCTTACTTTGGAGAACAAGCCTGAAAGATATACCATAATATGTAGCAACTTAGATAAGTCTGTAATGTAACAACACTAAGAGGTACCAAAACATGCGCGATTTTGAACCTCTAAAGGTACGACGAGCACCCCTCTCCCCCTACACCCGAGGAGAGGCGTCTTGTTGTTTGTATAAATTTCAGATGTTTACTTATGCTTTTCCTTTTCGTTTCGTGATCAGTAAATGATAAAAAATATGGATTAAGGGACTGGCCAAACGCACGCAACTTGCAACGCATGGTGCAAACTGTCCTACCCTGTTGCTATATGCTGCAATGTAGGCATGACACGCGGGATGAATGTTTAGGAAAAAGGTTCAAATTTTTCGTGTAACATTTTTGGATGTTTGCACATGATGTTGTACCTCGTTTGGCCAGCGTTCGTGCAACACATTGTTAGCAACGGGAGCATGCGCAGAGCTCGATTTGGGGCTACTTTAAAAGGGAAACCAATCCAACCATGCTGCAACATGCATATTTAAGACCGAGAGGGCGAGCGCACGCGAAGGCGGCGTCGCGTCCTTGTCACGGAGGTGATTTTCCATGCGCTTCGCGGGGGGGCGCGGCTAGCCCACTTCGATCCCTGAAGAAAATGAGAGCGACTGCTCGTAGTCTCACAAGATATTGGCCAAGCCATGGCGTGTCAAACGTGTAGGCAACATATAGTGATTTTGGTTTTTTTTGCGTTGAAATGTTTGCGTTTGCTGCGTTTTTGGCCAGCTCTTTCACAAAAATCTCACAACACGATCCAATAATGTTGCGCGAAAATAGGAAAGCAATCCAGTGCAAAGTATTCTGAGACTCAAATGAATAGAAGTTTACAAACATCCTTTCATGGCCTTGATGACAAATGTTACTTAAAAACAAGCGGGGGCGAGGGTCGTACTTTCAAATCATTTTTCACCAAACCACACTATAACAAAATTCCCCCGCGGTATTGTTCATGTAAGGTAGGCTCCGTATTACGAACACATGGTCGCTCTTACAAATGTTCGAAAGCGTTGGTTTTCTGAATGCTGTGTTTCTACTACGAAATTGTTTAGATGAAGAAAATATGTCCCCGATCAAGAATTCTTCAGGCCAGCCTATGATGTACGAATAAAATATTAGACCCAACTTACCTTTTCCTTCTGTCACGCCCCCCAGTTTTTCGCCTTTCTCAGCTGGCCCATCTTTTGAAATTTTCTTTTGTACTTTGCGCAGATTTCTCCTCAATCTGATCACAGAAGGTCGTGGGGTGCGAAAAGCAGCCGATTAGGTTCGATATCCTGATTTCACACGTGAACAAGTGCAATGCAACAGGCAATAGAAAGCAGTAATCCGCCACGGAAACAGAAAAATGGCCGAGCGGTTTTCTCTTCTTTGCCTGAGAAATTTGTTTGTCCCTCCTTCATTATAGAGATATCTTGACATGGTTAAAACCGGGGATTTCAGAGAAACGTAAAGAAATCTTCTGTTCTTTCTCGGTGTACAGAGCCGCAGTGTTTCCTAAACTGATGGAATTACTGTATATATTACGTTTTCGCCAGCTGTGCATTTGTTGATGTTGGATCAAGTAATCGGAGCAGAAAGGGAAAATCCTGTGTTATCTGTCAATAGTATTAGATATTCTGTTGAGTGACTTTGATAGAAAGGTTAGATACACCAGTTTAGTGTAGAGATAAGAGGCTTTTCAGCTCTTGGTGGGATCAAGTATCGATAAGTTATCAGAGGCAGAAAGGAAAAACTGTGTAATCTTTAATCTGTTGGGGCAACTCTGGTATAAAGGTTAGATACCCCAGTTTTAGTTCTAGAAAGTGTTGGGTAGAGACACGAGCCTTTAGGCGTTTTGTTGGATCAAGTATCAGAGCAGAAGGAAAATCTGTAATCTGTTGGGTCTGCTCAACTTTGATAGAAAAGTTAGCTACCAAATTTTATAAGATAAAGAGAGGTTCTAGTATTTGTTGGGTAGAGATACGAAGGGGGGGGGGGTGGGGGGGGGTTTTTTTTTGCATCAAGTCTTTGAACCCAGCCCACCCAGGCAATGGTTTTGGTTGTAGCAGCTTATGTGATCCGTATATGCATAAAAACAAACGGCTATGGTTAGAAAAATGTTTGATTGTTTGCCAACATTTTATATGCCAAGGCAAATCCAATGGTGAAAAATGCAAAACGTATTTCCGGCACTCAAGCCGGAAATACGTCAGCGTTCGCAGGGCATATCCAACCAGAACGCTTTACTGCTTTGTCTTTGGTAACAAGGCAGATCTAATATCGCTATTTCTGCTGAGCTTGTATCCCGAGGGGTACTCCCTTATATAAGCTATATAGGTATGTGCCGCCCCAAAGTGTATGGTTTTTGAGCCGTTTTGGTCTGAAAAGGTATAGATTGGAAACAATTTTGCGGTCTCAAATTAGGTACGTTTCGCCTGCTTGTTCTGAAATAGGATATAGGGAAATTTTTGCCATTTTGGCTCAGAAACTGTTAAATGTTTACGGGTCAAGTTAAATGGGCAGGGAAAATCGCATATTATTGGTATAAAAAGTGTTAAGGGTTTAAAGAAGCAGGCGACACCCCCCACAACAAATTTCTAGTATTAACCCCCCCCCCCCCTCCCCTCCATTTATGCTAAACAAAAACTGCCACAATTCATTACATATTTTTATCAACTTCTGTTTTATTCAGCGCCAGCGGAACTCATAACTATGTTACCTAACACCTAAATTCGATTTCGATTTTCCTGTAATCCAGACGCTTCTAAACTTTGAGTACTTGTTTACGCGTGTAAAACCTTTATTAACGAAAGAGAATGGTACATTCGTAATTATATTTTCAAATTAAGCAGTTGAAAAGAAGCCCTGAAAAAAATTCAGGCTCCAACGGGAATGGAACCCATCATGACCTTTGCGATTCCGGTGCAAACGCTTTATCACTGAGCTATGAAGCCACTGGGAGCTGGTCAAGTGCGAGTTCTATTTATACCCGTCAAGTGATGAAATGGCGATGATGAATATATGAAATACCCATGACCTTTGCGATTCCGGTGCAAGCGCTCTACCACTGAGCTATGAAGCCACTGGGAGCTGGTCAATTGCGAGTTCTATTCATACCCATCAAGTGATGAAATGGCGATGATGAATATTTCCTATATGTGAATGAAAGATGTACTATTTCAAAAACGAGTGCGAGTGTTTCATCACGATTTCCAAACACGAGAAAACAGATGAAAGCACGAGGCCGTAGGCCGAGTGCTTTTATTGTTTTCGAGTGTTTGGAAATCGCGATGAAACACGAAGCACGAGTTTTTGAAATAGCTTCTCAAACAAAAGCTTTAAAAGAAAGCACTAATTAGTAGTAGTTGACCCGCATTGTTTTCCAGTTCTTTAATTTACGGTTACCAAACGTAAGCTCTGAATAGTAGTAATGAAACTTTGTTTTACACTTCTAATTAACAGTTTTCTAAATCCGTTGGGGAAACTGTTCATGAAGTCAAATGTAAATGAGTAAAAAATTGTTATTTTTGCATTTCGAGCCATGATGATAATCTACTTCAATGCCCAAGTCATTCAAGTATCTTGTAGCTCAATGGTAGAGCGTCCGACTGCTGTGCGGAAGGGCACAGGTTCGACTCCAGCTGGTAAAAATTGAATTATTTTTTCTTTGAAAATGCTTCCATGATAATTATTTAGTTTAAGTCTAAGTCATATAAATGCCACAAGAATCTTGATATCCAATAAATTGGATATGAACATCACTAGTGATGTTCATATGAAGATCACTAGTGATCTTCATCTGTCATTTAATTGGATATCAAGATTCATGCACGTGACAAACGTTCCGCCACGTGGTCTTCACGCGGTATCAAACCTCATACACGTGACGAAATGCGTGGCTTCTCATAGGTTTAATTAGCTCATGAATAATTAATGAGTTTGAGAAGGGTATTTCTTATATTCATTGTCGCCATTTCACAGGTATTCGCAATTGACCAGCTCCCAGCTTCTTGATAAAGAGAAAGGTAGTCAATGTTTGCCTTTGATATTTGTTGTAGCTAAGTGTAATTATATCTTTATTGGAAGAAATACTTTTGAAGTTTTCCCGGCCTGTAATTGTCAAAGACGAAATGTTAAGGTCATTCCATCGAAATGAACTTACAATAGATTTTCATTCAAACTTTTCCTATTGGTTGTTTATCTTAAGGAACTTAAATTTTGAAATAAAAAGGGGGGTCCCGGTATTCGTTTAGAACAGGAGGACCTGTATATACCCCTTAATTCCTTACAATATCAGCTTCCAGAAACGTTTTTATTAGCTAAGTTCACGTTTCCGGTGATTATTTATTCTTCTGCAATAGAAATTAGTCTATATTTATTTTATAGAAAGAAGGTGATTGCTAGACTCAAATAAAGAGAAAAAATTGATAGGGTCACCGTACTCATTTACGAGAAAACGACGATTCATCTCTCTGGCGAGCTCAGCCGTAAAGGAAAAGCCGCCATTTCTTAATGTGCGCGCGCTAATTACGTGTGAAATCATGCGCAGTAAGGATGCGCCAATGCAATACTAAGGAAACGACCTTAAGTGACTCACTGATGGCCAGCGCGTATCGTTCAAGTTTCAAATTCGCTACTCGTGGGCTATCCCATAGCATTTCAATTTTCCCAGTGTGTGATATCCCTTCTCGTCTACAACCATCAAATACCCCTGTATCCCCCAACCTTAGCTGTTTGACTGGAAGTGTCGACTTGTCAGTGAGCAGACCGCTGTCCTCCCGCCATACACCGTCATTCATGTCACAATTGCACGCGTAGCGGGATCTGCGCACGAGTTGGTCATTCCGCATGCGCACTTTTTAGTGTCAGGTGAGGCTCCGCCCCAGTACAGCATCCGACTGGAATCACGTGATACCCACCAGCCATAAGTGCCCCTGGCAAACAGGAAGTCAGAGCCATAACACTCGTATTTAATGAACTGTTCGCAGTGTAAAGAGACGTCAGTAAGACTCGCCAGCTGGGATAGACTCGCTCCCGAGTAGTGAATGCTGCGTGAGTATTCACCTTTACCATCATATCCATCTACCAATGTTCTGCTTTCACTGTTGTGACTAATGACTGTCACGCCAACTCCATTCTTGTCACTCATATCACAATAGACTGTAAACGGTGCCAGGCCTCCCTCGCCGTCTGGATCGATGACGTAATTGCCGCTAGAACTGCTGACGTATTTCCGTATCACGGAACAGGAAGTTATTGCAGGCTTAATCTCGGTATGTGCTTCAATAGTTGTCAGAGCATGGTGACCCTGCAGGTGTAAGATCCGCCATGTGATTTCGTGACACTTGGAATGACCACTGTGTTGTTTCGTAGAATAGTCGAGTCTACAGGAAGTGACGTCATTCCATCCTTAATCCACGTGGCTGTAGTTTTCAGGGCACTCTCGGCCACACACGGTAGACGCACAGGAGACCCAAACTCAGGAGTCAGCTGTTTGGGAGGACGAACTATAAACCGCAGACGAGAGAATATCACCAGCTGAATGGTACCTACTACTGTCCCCAGAATGTTCTCTGCTTTACAGATGTATGTTCCCCCCGTCTTTTCGTAATACGTTGTATATTTTCAACGCACCATTCGTCACGGCTGTTCTACCAGGTAAACTGCCAATGGATTTAGACCACGTGATAGTCGGTTGCGGCTGACCAGTAGCACTGCAGGCGATGGTAATGTTTTGTTCTTCCTCAGCCATCAGTCGATTGGAAGACAGTGAAACCCGAGGAACATCTGTTAAAACATATATAATATTAAATGACCCTGCGTTCTCAATCAAGATAAAAGGCAGCTTTCAAAGGCAGCTTTAAAATTACAACACTACTCACATTGCACTGTTAATTTTGCTGAAGCGTTTACGCTTCCCAGCAGGTTTTCCGCTCTGCAGCTATAAACTCCATCGTCTTCTGGTTTCACGTTCTTTATTATCAGAGCGCCACTGGACTCCACCACGTGACGACCAACCGGAAGTGACGATTTCACCTTGGACCACGTGACCGTTGAAGGTGGATAACCTCTGCAGTACATTTCAAGAGTGCTGTTTGCCTTCATTGACCGTCATTGCAGCGGGAGGCTCCCGTAGACGAGGAGCCGAGATAGATATGCCCCTCTCGCCCTTCATTCCCTGGGGGCCTCTAGGCCCGGTGGTCCCGGCACTCCCGGCACTCCCGGATCTCCCATTAATCCCATCAGTCCCCGTGGTCCCACGGGCCGTGCTTACCCGGAGATCCCTGGGGTCCAGGTCTCCCCGGTCTTCCACGGCCGCCTCGGCGGCCTGGGTTCCCTTTTGGACCTGCACGGCATAACACGTGATCTTTAGCGCAGATTTGTTGTTGCAGTTGGCGCAGCTCTTCTCGTACGAGTCGTTGTACATCCGGGGCTAGCGTTGGTGGTGAATTTACCGATGAAACACTTCGTTTTGTCTGGAAGCGCTTTCCTCGTGACCTGAAAGAAGTAATGCTGTATTTATGCTATAATTCATCGTGAACTCCACCTAATATTTCGAGCTGCGGAACTAACGGGGTGGGGGGGGGGGGGGGGAGACTCCGTATAAAAGTGACGGGGATACTCGTTGGGAATGTTCAGAAAAGCCCCTCATTGGGACCAGAATCCATGCACGTGCGTGGTTCAAGTTTATTTTTACCCCTAAGAGAACCGAATATAGAATCTGTTATTGATGAGTGATACATGAAAAGAACTTGTTACATGTCAATGTCATTTCCTGTTTATATTTGCGGCTTACTTGAGAACCTACATTGTAGCCTGATATCACTGATATCACAATATGTGGCAATTGTGAACATTGTAATGGAACACCTAAGTGGTACCAAGACACGATGATTTTCAATCTCTAGGAGCACCAACCTCCCCCCCCCCCCGGAGGGGAGGCGTGTTGTTGTTGGAATGATTTCAGATGTATTTCAGCACACTCTTGTCTACTTGTTTTTCTTTTGCATTTCGTTATCGGCAATATGTTACATTATCATTTACTAAATGAAACGAAAATACAAACCAATCAGATGAAAATTAATATTTTTCTAATATCCGACTCGCTAGCACGACATGAGAGGTATTCTGAGCCTCGAGGCAAAAATGAATAGAAGTTTACAAACATCATTGCAAGGTCTTGAAATGTTACCTACAAACAGTCATTTTTCACAAGACACTCTAACAAATCCCGCGCGGTAGGTAAGGCTCCGTAAGGTAAACACAGTTGTAAAATGAAAGGGTTCGATGAATTTATGACCCCGATCAAAATTATTCAGGCAACCTATAATACATCACAGAAATGACTTTCATTTCCGCAGATTCAGAGTAAAATTCTGTCCCAACCTACCTCTTACTCGTTCAAGTCATTTTCGCCTTTCACAGCGGCCCATCGCTTGAAATTCTTTTGTACTTTGTGCAGGATTTTCTCCTCTATCTGATCACAGAATGTCGTCGGGTGCGAAAACAGCCGATGATGTTCTTGTATCCTGAATTCCACGTGAACAAGTGCAATGCAACAGGCAATAGAAAGCAGTAATGCGCCACGGAACAGAAATGGCCGAGCGCTTTTCTCTTGTTTGCCTGAGGAAGTTGTTTGTCTTGTTTCATTGTTGACCAGTTGGAATCTGCTTTGACCCCGTTAAAACGGATTTCAGACGAGAAACGAGACGAGAAATCTTGTTCTTTTCACCTTGCGATGCTAGCAAAAGATACAACGTGTTCTTTCTCGGTGTACAGATCTGTACAGGGCCGCGTTCCTAAACGTATGGAATTCTTGTATAGACGTGCTCAGTCGCCGGCCGAACTGGGAGTGTTTATGTTGGATTAAGTATCAGAAAGGAAAGACTGTGTAATCTGACTTCAGCAGCCAGTTGGGTCAACTTTGATAGAAAGGTTAGATACCACAGCTAAA